TGCAGAATGTGAGAAGCTGTTTGAGACACGGTCCTCAGAACTAATAAAGACTCAGTGTGAGGTTGAATTGAAAGGGAAACAGTTAGAGCAGATGGATATTGATCTTGAGAGGCGTCGTGGTGAGGTTAGCGCAGAGATGGAGCATCTGGATAAGAGCCAAACTCACAGTAGAGAATTGGCACAGGAAATAAAGAGAAAGAGGAAAGAGCTTACAGCGGTTCTTGATAAAATTGCAGAGTATGGGAAGCAGCTTGAGTCGGTGGAACAACAACTAGCTTCTCAGCAGAAGTTGCTTGAGACACGGTCCTCGGAACTTGTTTCTAAAAAGAAAGAGTTGGACGGACTGAGTCTGGACCTTGACTTGGCCAACTCACTAAATAATGAGATGAGGGAAACATGTAAACAGATTAAATCAAAGGGTAGGGAGTTGGAGGAGATTGAAAGGCTGATTCAGGAACGGAGTGGTCACATTGAATCAATCAAGTTGCTGCTCGAGGAACACAGTGAAGAACTTGCTTCTAAAGAGGAGAGACACAATGAGATAACGGAGGCTATTCGTAAACTATCTTCGGAGATTGTCTCTAAAGAGGAAACTATCCAGCAACTCTCTGAGAAACAACTTGTAAAACAGAGAAAACTGGATTCGACTGAAAAACGTCTAGAAAATACCACTGCAGAATTTGTTATAAAGGAAAAAGAACTTGGCTCTGTGAAAGATACATACAGAGAGTGCCTCCAAAACTGGGAAATCAAAGAGAAAGAGTTAAAGTCCTTACAAGAAGAGATTAAAAAGATTCAAGACAGCTTGAAAGACTTTCAATCTAAAGAGGCTGAGCAAGTCAAATTGAAAGCATCATTGATGGAACGTGAGAAAGAACTTGGACTGAAGGAGAAGCGAATTCGTGCCCGTTCAGAAAAGATTGAACTGAAAGAGAAAAAGCTTGATGCTCGGGAAGAAAGGATTGATAAAAAAGATGAGCAACTGAAATCCACAGAACTAAAGTTGGCTAAATGTGTTAAGGATTATGAGCTGAATGCAAAGAAATTGGCCAGCTTTTGTCAACAAAACAACCCGGATCAACAAGTTGACTTGGTGCGAGACGCTAGTGTATGTGATGAGAAAACTTTGCAGTTACTCTTACGTGGGCATCTGAAGAAATGTGATCAGCTTCACCTTGATGTTCTGGGTGCTCTAAAAGCATCTTCTGACCCAGCAAAGCTTGTGTTAGACACAATACAAGGGCTTCATGAAAGGATGGCAGTAACAAAGCTTGATCCAGATAGTGTTAGAAGGAGTAGTATTTGCTTGCTGGAATGCTTAATGAATATGTCACAAGAGCCCAAGACTGAAGTACAAGTAGAAGCTATCAAATCAGCCACTGAATGGAAGAATACAACACTGGTTAAGGCAGAGAATCCAGTGGAGGTTTTGGGTTTTCTGCACTTTCTAGCTGCATTCAGTTTGGCATACACTTTTGATGCCGACAAAGTCCAAAATCTGTTTGATGCCGCCTTTCTTCGCCAATACGCTCCAAGTCTGTGTGAGGCTCTAGGAGTATCATCTCTAGCACCTGGTAAGTTTTCTCAGTAAAAAGATTCACTTGTATTCTCGTCTCTTTCTCTTCAAGTAGCATAAAGATTCTTTTCATGATTTTTTTTTTGTTCTGCCATAAATTATTATTTAAACCCGGATCTCATATCGTCTAGAACTCTAGATATCTAATTCTGCTACAAGCAAACCAATACTAAAACTTTAGAGCGTTAAGAAATAAGAGTCAAAGATCTACTATTTAGTCTTGTGATGCTTATTGAAGGTTTTTTTTTTTTTGCCCAGTCAACAATGTACTGTTATTGGATGATAAGCCTGAACAGCAGCCCCCTGAAGCAATCAGAAATAGCAGTGATTCTCGCAGCCCGGATGTCCAAGAAACCATAGCATCATCTCATTTGGGTAATGAAGATGTTCTTTTGGACCCTGAGGGCTCAGCTTCCTTTTCACCCAACGAGGTCTTTACTGGACTTCAAGGTATGAAAGATCCAGCCACATATGTTCTAAATTTTGTCAACGATGAACTCATGGGTGCTCAACATAGAGGAGAGTTGGGTTTAGCAGAGCCTGTAGTTAAAACTTTGATTCCCCTTTTGGAGGAGCTGCCACGTGTTGTAAGATCTAGCAAACATGTACTGTCAGATGCACTAAAAGTGGCAAATCTATGGAGCTGGATGATGGGAAATAGTGCTCAAATGTCATCGCTTGAGGCTTGGGGTTTTCTGCAACTCATCGTGGCATATGGGTTGGTGCATGCTACAAGTCAAGAAAATACTTTACGATTTGCTTCATATGTTGCTCACTTCAAACAGGCTCCGAAACTCTTTGAATCTCTTGGTCTTAGTTATGCCATCCCAAGTAAGTTTTAATTCTGCAACACATTGTTTTTTTTTCTTAACAGTTCTTCCTTGCAGTAGTGATACCCAAAAGATAAATGAAATATGTTTGACTCGTTTTTGTCTTTGCAGACGTGGTTAAACAACTCCTAGACGAACGCCATTATTTTATGGCTATCCGGTTTATCTTTTATTTCAAGCTGAAGTCCAACTTTTCTCCCCTGGAATTATTGAAAGATGAGATCGTCAATCTTAGAGTTTCTGCCAAGGAAGAGAGGAGATTTGATTCACAGGTTAAAGCTTGCTTCTGTTACATTTCTTCCCAAACTGTATATTCCATTGTCATTGATTGTTTATATTTGTATTATATGTTGACTTCTAGGCTGAAGACAGAGATGCTGCAAAACTGAAAGACATAATCGAACTCATCGAAGACTTCAAGCTGGATATAGATCTTCCTGTGGACCTTATCGTCAAATTCATGGTTCCACGGGAAATTCAAAATCAGAACCAATATGTGGTCTCATCATTTGTCCCAGTTCAACCTCCGCAGGTTCATATGCAGGCTTCACACACAGTCATTCACAGCTCATACATCGCCACTCATGGCTCAAACCCGACCTTTCCAACAATCCTTGGTGCATCACCAAATCAACAAGTCCTAGACATGGAAACATATCAAGCTGGTGGTTCAACTGTGTTCCATGGTCAACCTTCACACCAGGCTGGTTTCAAACGCCCAAGGATGGATCCTTCAGTTTCTAGACCTGTGATTAGACCTTGCTTCAATCCATCAAGCTATGGCAGATTCTAGTGTTCTAGGGTTCAAGCTAGCTTAGCTAGTAGTTAATAAGTAAATAACAAGAAATAGATTTGGTCTTTTTGTCTAGATTGGTTTGTGGTTAATAGCTGTTAATCTCTTTCTAAAGTCTTAATGTAAAAAGGAATATGCAGAGGGAACATCCTTGTGTTTCAGAATGACAAGGTTAATTAGGGGATGTTATTCAATCATGGATCTTAATAGAATTGAAATCCAACACTAATCCACTATTATTCAATTAATGATTCTAAATCATGCTTTAAAATTTGGTATTATTGGATCTTATATTTGTAAATCATATTTAATAGATTTTAAAGTTTGTGTTATCCAACTAAAATTTTAAATACTTGTTATTGAAAATTAAAAAATTTACATTTTTGTATATTACGTCATTTAAAATTAATTTTCTTTGGAGTTTCATAAGTAAACTATTAGATTCAAAATCAAAGATATATGGTAGTGACTTTGATATCCACACAAAAATATTCTTAAATATAATATCAAATTTCAAATGTAAACTTTAAAAAATTGAATTTAACTCCATAATTGAATAACACCAAGTTTTTCCAAACTAGCTCTTCAAGACTATTTAAAAATTAATTCTCTTACGCAAAATCATTTTCATATGCTATAATGATAATAATAACTTCATTAATTACTAGTTAAAGAACATTTAGTTGAATAGTATGTTGCATGAAAACTATATCCGAGATCAGTTTTTTGGTTAGAAAACTTGAGGTTGGTTTATTGTTTTGGACTCGTAAACTCTTGGAAGCACGGAAAAATATTTTGAAATCGGAAATTCTTAAAAACAAGGGGAAACGCGGTAGAAACACAATTCTTAATTTGTTTATTTAATTTGAAGCGTGATGGACACGTCTAACTTTTTAAATTTTTTTTGAAGCGTGACCGAAACATCTGATTCTGTTTTAAGAACATGGCGAAATGTTGCTACTAATGGATATATATATATATATATATATATATATATATATATATATATATATATATATATGGTATTTTTATAACTTAAAGTAAACTAATTCTTTTGGAAAATATAAATCATTCGAATTAAGAAAAATGATGGTTTAAATCGTTGATTTTAAACATTATTAAATCTTTATAATTTAGTTAATTTTTTTTTAATATTTATGCATTAGACTTGTGTTCTTTCAATTTTCTTTGTTTAAAAATATAGTTTTTGATGTTAGGTGTTATATATATATACACATTTCTTTTTTTTTGTCGTCAAAAGTTTGTATTAAAATAGAGGTAAGGTTCGTGAAACAAAAGAAACAGAGCAATAAAAACATCACAAAACAGAACAACATTGCTCATAATAAATAACGGAATTGAATTTGAAAAACGTAATCTGATGAAGCTTTTATCGTCGCTTATCTTTTTCTGTACGCGAATGCAACCATGCCGGACATCCAACGGCAAGGTATGATCTGAAGCGTCCTTCTCGAGTAACACTTTTAGCAATATCTCTTGCAATTGAATTCGCTTTTGGGGACGCAAGCTTAAAGAAAACTTTATGAAAATCCGGAATAAGGCGAGAAATCTTATATACACATTTCTAAAACGTATTTTCTAGTATTTTTTTAGAATTTTTTTTTTTAATGTGATTTCATGCATACATAACTCAAAAGATATTTAACAACGGTGAAAAAATTATAAAATAGTATAAACTTTCTTTTTCTCTTTGGTCAAAAATCAAAATATAAACATTCCCTTACAAAGTTTTTTTTTCCTGGTAAGGCAGCGAGGACGTATTTTCCCAATTATATATTACTCCTAAATATGTTACTTTAATTCAAAAAAGGAAATAAAATTAATAAAAAAATATTACCCTAATAGGCTAATTTTTCATCATTATCAACTTTTCAGGCGCCGAGAGAGAACAACTGCAGAAGAGTGAAGAATTCAAAGTTCGTTGCTTTTTTGAGAATTTTGATTTTGATTTTTGCTTTTGTGGTGAACTTATTAGGGTTTTATTGTTAATGGGTAGCTTGATGGAGAAGGTAACGAGTGGCTTAGAGCTTGTTGATTTAAGCAAGCGTAACTTCCGCAAAACCCTAGAATCTCTCCAAGAAGGTGCTCATTCGCTTCTTCTACTTACAATTCAATGGAAAGAGATCGAATCGTATTTCGAGTCCACAAGAAACGTCCTCGAGGAACGAGCCAAGGAGTTGGAGGAATCGATGAAGGTTAAAGCTTTGGAATTGGAGAAGAAGGAGAAGGAGCTTTGTTTGATTGATGAGTCGATGAAAGCGAAACAGAGCGAGCTCGAGAAGAAGGAGAAGGAGCTTTGTTTGATTGGTGAGTCGATGAAAGCAAAACAGAGCGAGCTCGAGAAGAAGGAGAAGGAGCTTTGTTTGATTGACGAGTCGATGAGAGCGAAACAGAGCGAGTTCGAGAAGAAGGAGAAGGAGTTTGATTTGGAACAGAAGGCAGAGTTTGAGAAGACGAAAGGAGAAGTTGAACAATTGGAGAAGTTTACGACGAGGATGGAATCGGTGGAGAGGTTTTCTGATGAGAAGTTGATGGAACTTGATGTCAGAGCAAAAGAGCTTGAAAAGAAGGTGAAAGAAGTAGAGAAGCAAAGAGAAGGGAGTGTCGCCGGAGGTAAGTTGAGAGATGAATTTGAGCCATTGGTTTCGTTGTTAGCTAAGAACATGGGCTCAAGTGTGACAATGCCTGTAAAGTGTTCAGCTTTATACCTGAAAGAGAATGCAAAAGATTTTGTAGATGATTTGGTTAAGAAAAACACAGCTTTGGCGAGAATGGTTCCGTATTTGGATCCGGCAAAGGTTATTTTGGATGCTGTAGAAGGGTCTTTGAAGGAGTACTGGAATAAAGGTTTAGGAGAAGCTGATGATAGAGTAGTTAATAGTTGCATTGTTCTGTTAGAGAATCTGTTACAGATGAATCGGAGAATCACACCGGAGGTGAAACAGGAAGCGACTCAACTTGGGATTGATTGGTTAGGCAAGGAAAAAGCCAATCTGAATAATGACCCGCGGGTTTTAGGTTGCTTGTTGTTTCTGGCTGCTTACGGTTTGGCTTCTGTGACTACTAGTGAGGTGCTCTTAACCCTTTTAGAGCGCTTTCTTTTGTATGATCATGCCCCGAAACTGTTTCGGCTTCTGGGGTTAGAAGATAAAGTTTTTGGTAAGGGTTGCTTCTTGTTTTTAGACTAATTAATAGTAGTTGTTGCTCAAAAATGGTAACTTCATGTGAATTGCTCTGCAGGTGCGGTTGAAACGCTAAAGAAAAGGGATGAGTATCTCGCAACACTGAACTTTATCTGTGAATTCCGGTTATACAAGCTTTGTCCAGGAAATCGACCAGGAGAACTTTTGCTTGAGTTCTTGATTTCCTCAAATAAAGCTGCCCAAGTGATTGCTGGGACTGGAACTTCGGTGGAGGCACAGGTAAGCTAATATCTCTCTCTGTGCTCTATTCAATCTGGATTATGATGTGTGTTCTATTGAATCCCGGCTTATGATGTGTGTTCATGTCTGATGTAAGTTGATTAAGCTTTTTGAATTGGTGTAGAAAGCAAGGAGGGAGAAGAGAAGAGCTGATGCAGTCATGGCCATTAAGTACATCAAAGAGGCGAAAGCTGAGAATATGTTTCCTGCTAAAATTCTTAAAAAGCTGATTGTACTGAAGAACGATGAATCAGCTCAGAGAGCAACGGAACCAGTTCATAAAAGTTATGACAAAAGACAGAGTACGACCAAAGCGGTAGGGAAACCTGAAGCTAAATCTATTAGTCCATATGAACAGAAGCGTGAAATTAAACGTCCAAGACTAACTGAACCAACAGCTCCTTCTCTGAATTTAACAGGTATGTTGATTCATGTATCAACCTTGCTCGTGAATTAGTAGCTAGACCCTACGTATCTATGCCATTCGTTTTCATTGACTTTCACTCTTGTAGCACTTTAAGTTTCTGTTTCCTGTGGCTTAGGTTTGCTTCATAAAATGCACAAAGAGCTTACCTGTATAATGAATCTTTCTTTTTGTCTTTGGGGAAACTTTGAGAAATAAATTTAATCAGAACATTGTTCTTTTGTTTAAGATATGTGTGATCGACCTTAAAGTGACATTTTGCTTATGCCTTGAAATCATCCAGTGAAGCAGCCCGAGGGTGTGTCCGCTCCTTCTGGTAAGCAGGTTAAAGAATCTGGAGTAAATCATCAGCCAGACACTATAACAACTCATCCAGCAAGTACTGAAACCAAGCCTAACATTCTCTCTGGTTCCATTAACGCGGACATGTTAAGGGAGCTAGTAGAAAAGCAACCTCTAAAGGAGAGTGAGGGTCTCTCCAATGCTCTGAAATGCACACCAGATCCAGCAAAGCTTGTTCTAGACACATCCATGGTTCTGTGTCCTACAAACGCCGAGGGGGGATACGAGTTCAAGCTGCTGGTTACTACAGCTAGCTGCTCTTTATTGTTCAATCAGCTGAAGAAGCTCCTGCCTAAAATTGGACATCCTGTGAAAGGCGATGCGAAGAAACTTGCCATTTACTGGAAAGATAAGATTTCAAAGAGCAAAAGAGATGAATTGGAAGTCATTTGCTTTCTACAGTTTGTGGGTATCTTTGGAATTGTGTCAGAGTTCAAGGCTGATGACCTTCTTGGTCTACTGGACAATTCTTATTGGCAAACTGTATCTCCTGATCTTTGCCAGTTTCTCGGGTTGGACAACGCCATTCCAGGTTATTCCCTTTTCTCTATTCTCCTGCTATGCCTTCTAGTGAAAATGTTTGAACTCTGTGAACTTGTTTAATTGTTCATATGGCTTTGTTTCGACAGGTTTCATTCAAAATCTCATAAAAACAGGACATCGAATCAGGGCAATAGACTACATATACTCATTTGGTATGGTCCATAGATTCCAACCTGTATCCGCTATTATAAACGATTCCTTGAGGATTATAAAGGAATCTGCAGAGAAGTCGTATAGAGAAGCCAATAACGAATCTGCAAAGCAGGTGAAATTTAAGCCGTTTCTTTGTTCTCAACTTTTTGTATCACAATAAAACTCAAATAGAGATTGTTGCAAGTTGTAACACAAAGCATATTTTACAGGTTGCAGCCATAGACAGACAAGTTAGAGCACTTAGAGCCGCCATTAAATGCATATCGTGCCACAAACTTGAATCAGAGTTCCAACTCGGAGACCTCGAAGAACAAATCAAGTCGCTTTTGAAGCTTAGAAGAAACACAGTTAGTGGATCTGAATCCGGATCCACATCGTCCAAACCTGATTCGACAATCAAACAATCTCAGACGGCAAAACCACCAACTGTAGTAGAGGTTGCTTCTGTCACTAGCAACATACCTTTGGAACCTTCAACAGAAGCTGCATCCTCCTCTGTGAGCAAACCGTTTTCAACGAAGAAGAATAAGAGAGGGAAAAAACGCAGCCTGTCAGGAAACAATCAGAGCTCAGGACATGTTGCGTCGCACACGAGCAATCACTTTCCCAACCATGACTATTCCCTGGATCAAAGACAAACTTGGCCGGTCGACAACGACGACAGAGGTTTCACCGGATTTCACGCAGACTACAATTATAACCAGTGGAGACAACCAGAGGGATCCCAATTTTACCAACATTATCAACCTTTAAATCCTCACTACAGGAACTTCTAGCCGCTCCTTTACTTTTAAAGTCTCTTGGTTTTCTTTTGTTTTTTGTTTTTTTTGCAGGATTGCTAGATTTGATTCCACCGCTATTTTGTTCACAAATTATAATCATTGTCATTGTTATATAATGTGAAATTATAAAAACTCACATAAATGGTATATAACTTTTTGACGTTTAACTTTTGTCTTTTTCTTGAGTCTTCTTTTTAATTTGAACAAAACAAAAACCGTACTTGAAAACATAAATAATAGCGATCATTTCAAAAACACCATGTTCTAGTTTTCGCATAGAGTATCTCTAAGATGTTGTTTGGTTGGTTATCTTTTTAAGATTCTTTATAAATATGTTTTTTCATGTGCTACGAATACTAGATTTTTTTGTAGTGTCTTCTGTGCTTGTTTTGCGTGTTAAATGTGTATCTGTCGTGTCCCAAAAGGCAAGTCACTGAATCCACCGATTTGGGCCTCAAAATTTGAGGACCTTTATACCTAAAAATTTGTTAAATTTTTTTAGATACAATAATTTTTGTAGGGTTTTTGAAAAATATTGTGGGCTTTAAGAGACAACTACAACATTCTTTTTAATGGTAAAAATCTAATTTAAAAAAAAATCTTTTTAATGGGTTTTAAGTTTTGCTTAGGGCACCCAAATTTACCGGACCGGCACTGTATCATGATCAGCCGTTCCTAGAGTTTTAGATGTCAGAGACGACTAATAATAAGACATTGTAATTCAAATAGAAATTTAATGCATGTTGTAATTCAGAGTCTTAGTAAATATATCTTCTATCTTGGTGGTAATCCAATTTTTGTGGTCATCAAAGAAGCAACGCGGGATGGCACGTTCCTCAACAAAAGCAGAATACCGAGCGGTTGCCAACACTGCCTCCGAGCTTCGTTGGGTGTGTTCTCTGCTTACACAACTTGGTATCACGGTAGCATCACCTCCAGTAATCTACTGTGACAACGTAGGTACACCATTTATCTCTCCACTAATCTAGTCTTCCATTCACGCATGAAACATATTGCACTTGATTTTTATTTTGTTCGAGATCACGTACAAGCGGGTGCGCTTCGTGTAACTCATGTGTCCACAAAAGACCAACTAGCCGATGCTTTAACGAAAGCTCTTTCTCGTTCACAATTTATGGAGCTCATGTCCAAGATTAGAGTCGATCAAGACACTCCATCTTAAGAGGACGTGTAAAAAAGTTATACACTAAAAATATAATTGTAATTATTAGTTATTTAATCACTCTTATAACCTTATATATAGTGTAAATCACTCATTTATGATGATTCAGCCTTCTAATCTATATATTATACAAAACTTTTTCTAATTTTTTTATGTAGAATTTTTTGTTACTGGTTTCAAAATATCTCTATTTTTCTATTGTTTGTACAATTTATTTTTCTTCTATCAGTCACTAGTATATATAATAATGATAATAAAAAAAAAAGTTTCATCGTATTCTCGCATTATAAAAGTATAGGTGAGATAATTTGAAGTTATCAAACTAGCATTTCAAATTTGTTAAAAAAAAATAAATATAGAAATCGTCTAAATTTTTGTCAAAAGAGTGAATATAAGTAAGAAAATGGACTAAGGTAGAAAAAGGAAAAACACATCTAAAAAAAATTACTAAAAAATAGCGACCACTCACCTTCTTCACCTTCACCTTCAGGCCTTCCTCTCTAAAATCAAAATTTTCAGTTCCCTCTTCACTCCAAATCTAGGGTTTCTGAGTTTTTTTTTCTGATCGTCTCCTCAGCATCCTCTCTTTCGGGATTCAAGCTTCTAGGTTTGTATTCTTTCCTTCGTTTAGGGTTTTACCTTCTCCGTTGTACGACTCATGATCACAATTTTGTATAGTACAGTGGAAATGCTCTCGTTTTACAGTTGTTGTTGTGTATCACCGTCGTATTTTTCTTCCCGATTTAAAGTTTTAGTTCCGAATTTTGTCGAAAGTGGGGAGAAAAAAAATCGGTGCTTTAATCTTTGTTGACCTTACCTGTTTTCGATTATTGCTTTGATTGTTTATTCTGACAGATTTCTCCGTTTGATTTTGATTCCTTGTGAGATTACTTAGTCCATGAGTTTTTTCTTTTATTCTGCTTTAAAAATTGAAACTTGATTTTAAAATCTCAGCATTGCAATGGAGTAATACTTTGACGTGACATATGATTTCTTCTTTATATTTTCAGGTCTATACTATTGAACTATATTAAACTGATTTGACTCATATCCTACAATTTGAAGGCGTCATGGAGGTAGAGGTTTTGTTTATCGGATGAAGGATGAAGTATATTGTTTAAAGATCTTGCGATTCTTGTCTCTTATATGGTAAGCTGAGTTTTCTATTTTCACTGTTAGCTAGTTTTGGGAGTGGGAAGTGATATATAATAATAATGTATCTGCAATGGACTTTTGTGTTTGCAGGACTGAGATATTGGTTCTTTGATGTCTTTGTTGTTCTTCTGATCTCTGAAATTTAGCTGATTTAATGGACTGCAATAAGGAAGAGGCCTCTAGGGCAAAAACTTTAGCAGAGGATAAGATGAAGAATGGTGATTTTGTTGGGGCACAAAAGCTTTTATTGAAGGCTCAGAGTCTTTTCTCAGGTCTTGAGACTTTACCACAAATGTTAGCTGTATGTGATGTCCATAATTCTGCTGAGAAGAAACTCAACGGTCTTGAGAACTGGTACGGTATTCTTCAAGTTATGCATTTTGCTGACGATGCTACAATCAAGAAGCAGGTCAGGAAGCTTGCTTTGCTTCTCCATCCTGACAAAAATCAGTTCCCTGGTGCTGAGTCTGCTTTCAAGTTGGTTTGGGATGCAAGTAGATTTCTTGCTGACAAGGATAAACGGTCTCAGTATGATATAAAGCGTAGAATCTATTTACGGGTTGCTAGTTACCAGTTGAATGCAGCAAACTATGGTCTACAATGTGCCAGTGATAGTGTTACATTTTGGACATGTTGTGAGCATTGTGGTTATAGGTATAGATACTTGATAGAGTATGCGAACACTCTTCTGCAATGTACCAGTTGTCAAAGATCCTACATGGCCTACGACACGGGATTTAATGGAGCATCATTTAAATCAAGCACTGGTCAGAAAGATGTTCGAAATCAGGGGCCGTGTAACACATCTGTGAATATAAATGCAGAGTCTACTGGTGCTCAACCAGGAAGTGTAGCAGCTGAGGTGGATAAGAAAGGAACTTTCAATGAGGAATTCAACAAGAAGAACGGAGGAGGTGAGATCAAAAAGACTCATGTAAAAAAACCCAAAAGAAAGGCTGAATCCATGAAGAGTTATGCTCAATCAAGTATACCTGAGAAAGACGAGGGAAAGATGAATAGTGCAGCTAAACTACAGAAGCCACAACCTGAGGCTACAGAACCCGAAATAGGTTTATCGAAATCTGTACCTGATGAGTCAATTTCAAGGAGTGATCAAGCACCCTCTACAAGCAAGGACAGGAACAAAAGGAAAAAGTGTGTTGAGGAGAGTATTAATGTTGATGGTTCTGATATTGTTAAGGATAAAGCAGATTCAAATGATAATAGTAAGTGGAAATCTCCAAGGAGAGGCCAACAGAGTTCTTGGGCAGAGAAGGTAGGCAGTGATGATAGCCCTCCAAAAAAAAGGTCAAGATCAAATGTTGGGTTAAAATCTGAGCAAACTACAAGAAAAGGATTAGTAGGTGTTGGATCATCTACACGTCGTGATTCTGGTGGTGGTTCAACTGCCCCTTCATGTGTGTTTAATGGAAAAGCTAAGAAATTCGTGGATTCTGGATATCCAGAAATCTCAGCATCCAAAGACAAAGTGAGAGAAGGATGTAAAGAAAGTGGAGAAGGGGTGGTTATGGCAGCAAAGATTGACAATAACCACAATGCTAATGAGAAGCTTATTACGCAGGATTCGCCTGATCCAGAGTTCAGTAATTTTGAACTGACGACAAGCTGTTTTGCTGTCAACCAGGTGTGGTCTTTGTATGATCCGACTGACGGTATGCCTCGGTTGTATGCTCGGATAGAAAAAGTGTTGGATTCTGAGTTCAAGCTGTGGATTACATGGATTGACCCGCTACAGGATAATAACTCTATTCCCATTGCTTGTGGAATCTTTCAAGTTGGGGATTCAGCCGAAGAAAACGACCACTTAAAATTTTCTAGTCAGATGTTTCACTTAACTCGCAACAATAGCATCGGCATATATCCAAGAAAGGGAGAAATTTGGGCAATTTTCAGAGGCTGGGATATCAGTTGGAGTGCTAGCTCAGAAAATCATAAACATCCTTATGAATATGATTTTGTTGAAGTTTTGTCTAATTTTAACCGATGAGATTGGCCTTGGAGTGGTCTTTCTGGGAACAAGTGGAAGGGTTTGTTTCCCTCTTTCGGCAAAATGCACAGGATGGAGTCCTCAACTTCAAATTCCACCCAGCGAGATGCTCAGGTTTTCGCATAAAGTCCCATCATTCAAAATGACTGGAAAGGAGAGAGAAGGTGTTCCTCCTGGGTGCTTTGAATTAGATACTGCTGCTTTACCAAAAGAATTTTTCGAGGTTTGTGATTCTAAAGTTGATGTTGGGTTGGAGAGAGAAAGGCCGAATGGCAAAACTGGTGGTCCTTTTCCTGAAGCTTCCAAGGTTGAAATGCAGGCAAATACTACTCTAGAGAGCAGTCCAGTTAAAAAGAAACGTCCAAAAGTCCATGACAATCATGGTTCATTCTCCAAAGAATCTGATGGTAGATGCACTAATCATGAAAAGAACTCAGTGAAGAAGTCCAGAAAGAGTGTCAAAGCAGTAGATGTCTTGAATCTGCGAAAATCTCCTCGTCTTTTGAGTGAAACAAACAGTCAAGCAAATTCAAGGTCAGGCCAACAAATAGCTGAGAAGAAGAGTGCTAACAATGGTGAATACTGTGGACAGCGAGGTGGGTTGTCTGTATCTGGTGAGAGGATGTCTACCCCAATGATATCTGAGAAGACTATCACAACGGATTCCTCAAGAATGAGAAAAACACCTCAGGATATACACAAACCGACAGGGAACCTAAAGAAACATGGGAGAAATGATGAGTCATTGTCTCAGTCCAGGGGTAATGGTTTGCTAACTCAGTTGAATGGTAGTATAAAATGCTCAGAACCAGAGACTCGTGTTCCATCCAGTTGCAAAACCGTGAAAGAAAACACTTTTAACTTCGAGTACCAGAGATCTTGGGACAAGTTCCAGATTGATCAAATATGGGCCATTTATAGCAATGACGAAGGGATTCCCAGAAAGTATGCTCAGATCAAGAAAATCGACACAAGTCCTGAATTCAAGTTACATGTAGCACCTCTAGAGCTGTATCGCCCTCCAATACACATGCCACGCCCCGTGTGCTGTGGGCGCTTCAAGTTGAAAACCGGTAAAGCAGAAATATTTGTACCTAGCAGCTTCTCACATCAGGTTAAAGCCGTGAAGGCTAAGAGGAACAGATTCGAAGTATACCCGGGGAAGGGTGAGATCTGGGCTCTGTACCAGAACTGGAATACCACAGATTGTGCTGAGACTGAAGAACTTGAGATTGTAGAAGTAGTGGAAACCGACGAGCAAAGGATACAAGCAATGCTTTTGACTGCTAAAGAGTTTAACAACAAGCCTCTCTACGGAAGTAGTCAAGAGTCAAATGCAAGTCTAGTAGACATTCCAAAGACTGAAGTGTGTAGATTCTCGCATCAGATTCCTGCGTTCAGACACGAGAGAAGAGCGACTCGGTTTGGAGATGGCGAATACTGGGAGCTTGACCTGAAAGCAGTTAGGGGTCTCAACTTAAAGAACCCATAGGTCTCTCTTTCATTTGTCAATCGCACATATTTATCTAGTTGGGACATGATTTCTGGAATGTGACATTATTAGAATTTAACGTTAGTGTTTAGTAACATCAGACTATGCAGCGACAACAACATTAGTAGGCTTGGCATGTTGGTTTAGTATTGCTCTCAATCAAACGAGAAATACCAAAACAATTAAACCAAATGAAACCGGAAATAAAGCTAATTATTGTTGGAGACAAACTAAACCACATCAAACCGAACTTAACCGGATAATCTAAGGTCTAAATTACGAGACCGTCTCTGAGCTAGATAACGGCAAGGTTGTGGCCGGAGAAACTCGAGAAGAAGAAGCAATGAAGAGTGACTTCCTCACTTCCACAACACACTTCAATCCTTCAATATTTCTTCCGAAAATACCCTCAAGAAACTCTAAAATCTCAATAAAGTCCTCTTCTTCTTCCAAAGTCCGACCCGACCCGTGGTCACTCAGCGACGGTAACCCGGAAAAACCAAAACCAAGATACGAAAGACCGAAACATCCGTTATCAGACGACGACGCTCGACGAATCATAAAGAAGAAAGCACAGTATCTAAGCACGTTGAGAAGGAACCAAGGCTCACACGCCATGACTCCGAAGTGGATTAAGCGAACTCCAGAGCAAATGGTTCAGTATTTGGAAGATGATCGTAATGGTCAGATGTATGGGAAACATGTGGTGGCTGCGATTAAGACGGTTAGAGGTTTGTCACAGAGAAGAGAAGGTAGTGATGATATGAGACTTGTGATGAGTAGCTTTGTAGCGAAGCTGAGTTTTAGAGATATGTGTGTTGTTTTGAAAGAACAAAGAGGTTGGAGACAAGTGAGGGACTTCTTCTCTTGGATGAAATTGCAGGTTCGATTCTCTTCTTAAAGCTTTGATTTTGATCTTGATTCTGTTGTTTAATGAAGTTTTGGTGATAGGTTTTTGTGTTAAACAGTTGAGTTATCGTCCGAGTGTGGTTGTGTATACGATTGTTCTTCGTTTGTATGGACAAGTTGGGAAGATTAAGATGGCGGAGGAAACGTTTTTGGAAATGCTTGAAGTTGGATGTGAACCAGATGGAGTAGCTTGTGGTACAATGTTGTGTACTTATGCTAGATGGGGACGTCATAACGCTATGTTGACATTTTATAAAGCTGTTCAAGAACGGCGGATAATTTTATCGACTTCTGTGTATAATTTCATGTTGTCGTCTCTTCAGAAGAATCGTTTCATGGGAAAGTGATAGATTTATGGTTAGAAATGGTTGAGGAAGGTGTGCCTCCGAATGAATTCACGTATACGTTAGTTGTGAGCTCGTATGCTAAACAGGGTTTTAAAGAGGAGGCATTGTGGGCTTTTGGTGAGATGAAGAGCTTGGGGTTTATCCCGGAGGAAGTAACTTACAGCTCAGTTATTGGGTTAAGTGTGAAGGCTGGTGATTGGGATCAGGCTGTTGGATTGTATGAGGATATGAGATCTCGGGGAATCGTTCCGAGTAACTATACTTGTGCATCTATGTTAAGTTTATATTACAAAACGGAGAATTACCCGAAAGCGCTTTCTCTCTTTGCAGACATGGAAAGAAATAAGATTCCGGCTGATGAGGTCATCCGCGGGTTGATCATCAGAATATACGGGAAGCTCGGACTTTTCCATGATGCACAGAGTATTTTTGAAGAGACTGAACGCCTGAATCTACTGGCTGATGAGAAAACGTATCTGGCAATGTCTCAAGTTCATTTAAATTCGGGGAATGTTGTCAAAGCATTAGATGTAATTGAAATGATGAAGACCAGAGATATTCCTCTTTCCAGATTTGCCTATATTGTCATGTTACAGTGTTATGCTAAAATACAGAATGTTGATTGTGCTGAGGAAGCATTTCGAGCTTTATCAAACACTGGACTTCCTGATGCCAGTTCTTGTAACGACATGCTCAATTTGTATACCAGACTCAATCTAGGAGAGAAAGCTAAGGGTTTTATCAAGCAGATAACGGCTGATCAAGTTCAGTTTAATATAGAGCTTTACAAGATGGCTATGAGAGTGTATTGCAAGGAGGGAATGGTGGCAGAAGCTATAGAGCTGGTAGATAAAATGGGTAGAGTGGCTGTGGTTAAGGATGACAGATTTGTACAAACACTTGCAGAGGCTATGTATATCGAAATAAACAAGCTGGATAAACACGAAGCAGTTTTAAACGTGAGTCGACTTGATGTCACAGCTCTTGGAATGCTGCTCAATTTGCGACTAAAAGAGGGAAATTTGATTGAGACTAAAGCAATTTTGAATTTAATGTTCCAGACTGATCTTGGTTCACTGGCAGTAAATCGAGTCTTAAGTACCTTTGTGAGAGAAGGTAAGAAAATTTAACTGGTTTTTTGTTACTTAGATATTGGTGTTTTTAACAAGCTTTGGACACGTTGTTGAAGATTAAGTTCATTTATGCAGGTGATGTATTTAAAGCAGAAATTCTTGCCGATATAATTATCAAACTAGGACTCCGGATAGAGGAGGAAACAGTCGCGACTTTGATTGCTGTATATGGGAGGCAACATAAGCTTAAAGAGGCGAAACGGCTTTACGTTTCAGCAGGAGAATCTAAAACTCTGGGGAAATCTGTTATCAGCTCAATGATTGATGCTTATGTCAGATGTGGCTGGCTTGAAGATGCGTTTGGACTCTTTATGGAATCAGCAGAAAAGGGCTGTGACCCAGGAGCTATTACCATTAGCATACTTGTGAATGCTCTAACAAATCGAGGTATGTCAAATGGAAAATTGCATCTCCTTCCATCCCAAAAACTTCAGTAAAATTCAGGTCCCCAAATAATCTAATCTTGTTATAGCACATGATTGGAAATTTGAGCTGAAGATATTCTAATGGGTTTGAAAATTATAAATTGATATAACTGTTACATTTCCATCAACTACTTGCAGAGTTCAGTTACATTAAACGTATTATATTCCAGTTAATTGCGATGTTAAAATATTTTGTAAGAACACTGTATTATCCTAATCACAGGAAAACACCGAGAAGCAGAACATATATCACGGACCTGCCTCGAAAAAAACATGGCGCTTGACACCGTTGGCTATAATACTCTTATCAAGGCAATGCTAGAAGCAGGTACAACAGAAAAGATCTTTATCAATTCCAGTTGAAGTTTATGGTGCAGGGAACCAACACTCATATCTCTGTTGTCACAGGTAAACTACAATGTGCATCTGAAATTTATGAGCGGATGCATACCTCAGGTGTTCCTTGTTCGATTCAGACATACAACACAATGATCAGGTAAACTCATTCAATCTGGCTTCCTTATGCTTAAGACTCAAGTAAGTTGGTCGTCGTGTAAAATTCCAGCTATCTTGGTTGGTTGATGCAGTGTGTATGGGCGGGGTCTGCAGCTGGACAAAGCAATTGAGATATTTAGTAACGCTCGCAGATCAGGGTTGTATCTGGACGAGAAAATTTACACGAACATGATTATGCATTATGGCAAGGCGGGTATGTATCTAATCGAGAAATTTATACTTATGTTCCGTATATGATATGAATCACAGTTTCTCGCTGACATGGAATGTTCTGTAACATTGACAGTCTTGATTCTGATTAATAACATTAACTAATGAACCTTTCTCTTGCTGTTCCAGGAAAGATGAGTGAAGCATTGTCTTTGTTTAGTGAAATGCAGAAGAAAGGGATTAAACCTGGAACGGTAGGTTTTACGTTTTTCAACCAAATTCTTCGTAACATCTATTTAGTGGCTTAACAACGAGATATTTCTTTAAATCTAACAACGGGTGAAAACAAATCTAACAATGGATATTGTGAATAATACTGGGAAAAAATTGCAGCCTAGTTACAACATGGTGGTCAAAATATGTGCAACCAGTAGACTCCATCGCGAGGTTGATGAACTTTTGCAAGCAATGGAGAGAACTGGTATCTGTACGGAATCATCCACATACCTCTCCCTGATTCAAGCCTATGCTGAGAGTTCACAGTTCGCAGAAGCAGAGAAGACGATAACTCTCATGCAAGAGAAAGGCATCCCGCTATTTCACAGCCATTTCAGTTTATTGCTCTCTGCTTTTGCCAAAGCTGGGATGATGGATGAAGCCGAACGGATCTACTCCAAGATGTCTGAAGCCGGTATAAGTCCAGACAGTGCTTGCAAGCGGACTATCCTAAAGGGATACATGAGCTGTGGTGACGCCGAGAAAGGTATATTGTTCTATAAGAAAGTGATAAGAAGCTCTGTGGAAGATGACAGATTTGTTAGCAGTGTAGTTCAAGATCTGTATAAAGCTGTTGGTAAAGAACATGATGTATAAAATAAAGAATTTTGAACCAAAAGTATTCACATTTATGATTTGTTCTATCTAGAAAGGTTGTCTTGTAGCCAATCTCGGAAAATGTTCTGGAAATGATCTTTATTGTACAGATTCCGGTTGGCCTTGGATCTTCTGCAGAGTGTTGGGCAGTTTTGAGTGTGAGAAATCTGCGCTTTCGCAGGGTTATCTTTGAGTCAGACTCTAAGGATGGAGTTGAAGGTTTATAACCTCGCACAACTTGCCTTGCTCTACAATCCTCTATCGACAAGATATCCACTCTTCGACACATTTTTTGATAATTTCTCTATTTAATTTGGACACCGCAAATGTAACAGAGTAGTTGTTAGAGTAGCACTTCAAACTCTTAAATTTGCGTCTTTTGATATGTGGATAAGCAATTGTGTACCAGATGGTTACATGCTCTTGTCGAAACCTATAAACCATAGGTGGAGTTGTATACTTAATGGTGAAATGAAATCTTTGTTGAGTTAAAAGAAAAAGTGCCAATGAATAGGTCATAGGTGGGATTGGGAAATGGAGACCTTGGTTTTCCTTTCCGGAATTCAACTATGAGAGAAATATATTTTCTGTTTTGTTTATACATCTTGAATTAATCTAAATGTAACCATTTTATTGGTTCTGAATTTTTGATTCAAGGAAATACAAATTTACTCTTGACTTATTCATAAACATTTGAAATAAACTAGGACATTTATTAATATGTTTACAGTTTAACTGTAATGA